AAACAGTAATTACAATATAATAGGACCTCATCTCCAGCATAGGCAAAGTAGCACGGGAGCCCGGGAGAGCCGGAGGCGTCCTCTGCCTGGAGGGGCAAGGGCAGGCTCTCAGAGGTGGACGTCTTCTTGGAGGAGCAATTTCAGTGGAGTTATGATGGAAGAAGCTAGAGTACAGTGGCTAAAATCTTATGTATTAAACATTTTGGCTCAGATGTCTTTAGCATAAATCAAGCCATAGTCCTCAGAGTCATTAATTTACCACCTGAGAAAGGAAAATGTTATAACATCTCTAAAAGACTTTGCAATGTCTCATTATGCAAGTGCATGCAGAAATTTTCGAGGAGCCAAATTGTATTGTCTTTTCTAACATTAAATTCTTAGTTCTACCAAAATTTTGTCAAATAAAAAAATCCATAAAGGATTGGCTCTTTAATGACTTCTTGTAATTTTTATCCTATTCAACATTCAATATATGCTAGTATGTAGATTATGCATACTTTTTGATAGAACTTTGGCCAGAGCATTTTTACTTACTACAGAGCATCCGCCTTACAATATGAGTCTTGATGTAATACATGCAACGTGGGGCCTCTGTCCCGTCAGCACCATGATTCTTAGCTCTGCCATGTCCCCAGGTCACACCTGTTTTGAGCTGGTAACAGCTGTGCTTGCTGGACCAACTAGAGCAGGCCTGCCTTTACATCTGATGGATTCTCGTGGCCACCCAGCTCGTTGGCCGTGATCTTGGAGCATTTAATAAATGCTAACAGGGGCCGGCCCGGTGGCGCAAGTGGTTAAGTGCGCGCGCTCCGCTGCGGCAGCCCGGGGTTCGCCAGTTCGGATCCCGGGCACGCACCAACGCACCGCTTGGCCAGCCATGCTGTGGCGGCATCGCATGTAAAGTGGAGGAAGATGCACATGGATGTTAGCCCAGGGCCAGTCTTCCTCAGCAAAAAGAAGAAGATTGGCAGATGTTAGCTCAGGGCCTATCTTCCTCAAAAAAAAAATAAATAAATAAATAATGAATGCTAACGGTAATACTTGCTAAATCTGCCTGGAGCAGACCTGAGTTATAGCAAACAACTTCAGTTTTTCTCAAACAGAAGCAGATCACATTTGTGAGCAAAATAAAATCAATTATGGGGAAGTCTTGTGTTTTTTAAAGTTTCTTTTCATAAACTAAAGCTCATTTTCCTAGAAATACATCTAATATACTGCTAAATAAATACTAAAGGAGAATAAAGGATCATTGTATATGATAGTGTTATGAACAGAAAAACTAAATTCACAGCCTTTAAACATTCTTATAAATTCTGTTACATGTTTTCAGTCCAAAATCAGTTAGTCTTATTCAACAGAATGCTACCTTTTCATCCCTAATTTCCTTCCAGGTTTCAGTCTTGAGCCAGTCTGAAACTTGACTAGCTAGCAAGTCAAGTATACAAATATACGTGGAAAGTTGTGGATCACTCCCTGACAGTAATCCACTGTGATTATATTTACAAAATGGAGGAAATATAAACGTTCCGTAGGGACAATTTGAGATTAGTTAACCTGTCCTCTTTTCTCCATATCTCGGTAAGTAAAGCTGCCCTGTTTTTGTAAGGAATTGGTTTGTTGCTCTATGGCACCTTGAGAGCCTTGGCGCTCATCCACTCCCAGCTGAGAACTCTGCATGAGAAAGGACGTGAGAGCAGGAGGTGCAGAGTCACCTGTGCTCTTGCTGCTGCCTCAACTAATAAAACTGACTCCTTTGTTAGGGGCTCATAACTGGGTGAGTTCATGTTCCTTGACCTGGAAAGAACACTTCAAAATAACAGTCTTTGTCTGGCAATAGAAAGTGGAACAGGAAGCACTGACAGCTTCTGCACTGGGGTAGCGTCTCAGGAATCAAAAGACTGGTATGATCCCATAGGAGTCTCTTGGCTCCACAGAAACCTCCAGATACTTAGTTTTAGGAGTCGCACAGATGCTAGAAACAGCGACTGCTTCTCTGTCTCCTAAGTCCTTCCTCCAAGGCCCTGATAAAATGCAGTCCTGTTCCCTCCTGAATCCCTTCAACCTTCACCAGCCAAATGCTGCCTAACGCCCTGCACCTCTCTTGTAGCCTTTATCACTTTCTACTTTGTATGAGAGATACTTATGTATACGTCTCATCTAGTGAGCCTGAGTTTACACTCCTTACAGGTGGCGGGGTGCTCAGTAAATACTGATTAATTCAGTCAGGTCAGATTCTCTAGGTGGTCTGCTCCTTGAGTTAGCATGGGCACTGTTGGAAGACTGGGCTCTGAACCACGGCGTGGCCGACTGGCAGACCCACTCCTTTATACAGGGAGAAAAGATCTCCAAATCAATACTAGCTGTTTTGAAGGAATTCTTACCTCATGTTTTGTTTATTCCGACAAATATCAGTTGGGCACTAACTGGGTGTTTGGCACTCTGAATACAAAAGAGAGCACATTCTGATGAGAAACACAGACTCTCAACTAAATAAATGCAGGGTGAAAAGTTCCGGAAACATAGTTCATAGAAAATACTATGACTGTGTGAAGAAAGGAGTGCCTAGTTTTGCCTGGTGGCCATTTCAGTTCAGTGTTTCTCAAACCAGGGTCCAGGTCCTACGAGATGAGTCCAGGATAGGACTGCGATGTCAGGTGGCTGAGTTTTAAGCACCTGTTTGATGGTATCGGAATCCACACAGATGTATGAATAAGTTGGTATCTTTCCCTTTCCTCCCTTGCAAATTTAAGAGCTTCTATACCACCCTCGACCCTCAAATAGCTGTGAGTAGCTGCTTCTATAAAGTAGACTGGTAATCTTTTCTTAATGGCCTTCAAATGATATCGGGGCACTTAGCAAAAATCTGTGATCAGTTCATTTAGAATAAAAGGTCTACATGCAGCCATAGGATGTGCAAAATCAAGTTCTGGTGATGAATAAAACTTCATCTTAAATTATAATGATAAAATTCTCTCAATCCTAGAAATTCTACATTGAATCATTCAACAAATATGCATTGAGTGCCTGGTGTGTGCCAGCTTCTGTTCTAGGAGTTGGGGGTACAGCCCCCAGCTCCCATCAGCGTCCTCTACAGACCCTTAGCAACAGCAAGATGCAAAAGTCAGGAGACTCTCTGACAGCACTGTTTTTATCGTGATATTTACCAAGCAGTCAGAGACCAGAAGTTGAACGGCAAAGTGAAGCAGAGAAATAAGATGACTTGCTGAAAAAGCCAGTTGAGAATTCTTTTTGGGAGGGGGAGGGCCCAAACTCCTTCCCACAGCATCTGAATAGTTTAAGCCCTTGTCTGAGCCGTCTTTACTCTGACCATAGTGTGCTAGGCATTTTGAGAAGCAACAGGACAACAAAAACAATAATTCCTATCCTCCAAGAGAAAAACTAATCCCGAATACTCACGTTTCTATTGTGATTTAGAAAATCAAAAGGAGCACCAGGTTTGCAAAGTGAATAAATTTGGTATCTAAGAATAAGCTTTCGTCATACATCTTACTTAAGTGAGCTTTTTTCCTGACTCTTTTTCTAATGCAAGTTTACCAATTGCATTTCTTCATATTAAAGTTATTATTTTAAAATCATCATGTTCTAAGCAGCAGTAAATGACTTAATAGTTTCAATTATGACTAATGAACTCTACCTATTCAACAAGAATTTATTGAGTGCCTACTATGTGCCAGGCCCTAGAGCTACAAAGTCTGAGTTCCACGCATCGGGAAGGGCCACAATCTAATAAATAATTATAATACAGTATAATAAATACAGTGATATAAGTATCAGATAAATAGCAGTGACAAAGAGTGCATAGCTGCCTCCTTGGGAAGGAAGGACTTAGGAAAGGCTTTGAAAAGAAGAATGACATGAGCTGAGGTGAAAGATCAAAAGGCAAGATGTAAACATCCATGGCATGCTGAAAGAGAAGGTATTATTAGTGTCTGAGCCAAGTTGAAAGGCACCTTCTAGGTCCTCTGATCCAGTATCCCAGGCAGGAAATCCCTGACTGGGAAACAGTGTGACTAGTGTATTGGTTTCCCAAGGATGCACTGGGATATAGCTTCAGATTTTTCTCGCAAAAAGAGGGGTCAGGGGTGGACTTAAACTGCCTGGGACATCTGGTCATCATTTTTATTTATTATATGTATTAATTTACATATGTTTTCACTGGATAAAAAAATACAGTTTCACAACTAAAAACCACTGGCCTAGTGGGAAGAGCAGGGGTCCTGTGGAGTAGCCCCAAATTTCTGTCCTGCAGCAAATGAAATTAAAGTATTTAATATAGGAGAAAGTGATCTGTAAACTGTAATGCACTGCGTACATTTAAATTGTTTTTAAGTCATTTTTATTATGATCTCTTTGGGCCTGAGTTCCTTCATTTAAAAAATGAGGGTGGGGGCCGGTCCGGTGGCGCAAGCGGTTAAGTGCACATGCTCCACTGCAGTGGCTCGGGGCTTGCCAGTTCGGATGCCGGGCGCGCGCCGACGCACCGCTTGGCAAGCCATGCTGTGGCGGCGTCCCATATAAAGTGGAGGAAGATGGGCATGGATGTTAGCCCAGGGCCAGTCTTCCTCAGCAAAAAGAGGAGGATTGGCAGATGTTAGCTCAGGGCCGATCTTCCTCACACACACACAAAAAAAGAGGGTGGTTCATCCAGAAGTCTCAAGTCTCCTGTAGCTCTAGAATTATATAATTTCGTGATTATCCAGCTTTCTCTTGACTATTTCTAAGGACAAGGATGTTTTTTCAGTATACTCCTTTCTATTGCTTTTGACAAGAGTTAGTATTGGAATGAGAACATCTTGTTTTGTGAATTATAACTAGTAATTGGTTTTGTAAATTGCAAATACTGGCACACAAAGCCGAGACTGTGTGGTTTGCAGGATATGGACATTGCAATAGCTAGTGATGTTTTTTTGTTGCACATATGCCCAAAGTCAAATGCTTCAAATCTTGCTTTTAATGAAATATTTATGTTCTTTTGGTAGCCAGAAGTGCAACTTGCTGAAGGCTTTGATGTGTTTATGCCTAAATCTCAGCTGGACTCTATATTGTCAAACTACACTCGCTCAGGAAGCCTTCTGTTTAGAAAACTGGTGTGTGCATTTTTTGATGACAAGACTTTGGCTAACTCCTTACCCAATGGGAAGAGGAAAAGAGGACTCAATGACAACCGGAAAGGACTAGACCAAAATATTGTGGGTGCAATAAAAGGTTGGTCTGCATCATTTCATTTTATATAAGGGTTCTTTGTTAAGCTTTGCCTTCATTCCATAAAGATGCAGCTAGAATTGTAGTCAACTAACTAGAGGCTAATTTAATTTGCCATTGGCCACTTACCCACTGGCATGGCTTTTGGGTGTGAGCTCTGTAACTCACCACCCCAACTGCCACTAGAATTTGGTATTTCAAGGTGATGTTAATTTGTTAAAATCATAGTTTAAGAGCCAGTTTGATCTGCTGCAGGACAAAAAGAAGTTTTTTCTTAATAGACTTTAAAAATGAAGATATTTTTCCTCTCAGTAATTTCTAACTAAGAATTTCACCAAAATATGATTTCTGCTTACATTTTTAGTTGTAAATAAGAATTGAGCTATGATGCTTTTTTGAAAATAAAGTAAAACAGTTCTCTCCAAAGTTCAGAAGTCGCTTTACCAGGACATTACTTCTACAGATGTTTTAAATGTAAGTGAACCCACATCCTGTGCATCCGCACACATCCCTGGCCTACCTGCTCCCTCTGGTTTGGTGACATGGGGTCATGCCAGTCACATGCAAAGAAGACCATGGGTCTCTTCCCTTTAACACCTGTGAACATGTGTCTGAATTCTGCTATGTTACATTAGCCCTGCAGGTGTATATATGAGTAGATCTTCATTTATGTCCAGTTTTACATCCTACACCTATTTCTTAATTTTAAAATGCCCTTATTTAGGACTCTGATAAAAATGTAATTTTAGGTAATAAAAGTATTTAAATGTTATTTTCAAAAAGAATGGAAATCAATTCTCTAATCTAAACACAACTACCATGAAAATGAAATTTTGGATGAGGCGTTAATTTGCACTAGAATCCCTGATGAGGATGTTCTTCACTGCCTCAGTTCCTGCCTTGTTTGGCTCGAGGACTGGGACTGGACGCAGAGAACCGTCCCTGCCCCTGTTCCCCATTATCTTGCAAGATAGTAAATGAATTTAATAGTGCTTAAAGAATACTTGGGAACCCACAATTAACTTTATAAAATGGTACAATTTCTAAATAGAGTTAGCAAGTACCAGACACCCTTTGTTCGTGGCCAGAAGGACATAAGCCTTCATTAACAGAAAATTTCTCATTCTCCAACAGAATTTTTTCACTTAAAGTTTGAGTTGCATTAAATAAGAAAAGCTACAGAGGTATCACAACTGTGCTGTTTCTGAAAAGAATGATTCAGCCTGCAGTGACACTAAAAACAAAATTACAGAATTTGAAAAATGGTCCATGATGTAACTAGGACTTGCTGAAGTGAAGAAGGGTCTCATTTCAATTTAATATGGCTGGGGCCTTCTGGAAACATGAAGGTCAAGGCTGATGCTGCTTTTCATCGCTGAAGCTTTTAAACACACTGAAATGTAGCCAGGAGTAGTTTTAATTTTCCTTTTTTCATGACAGTATATTAAGATTATGAAAGTGTTTGGAAATTGGGGAACCATAAATGACCATGTTCCATTTTAATGACAGTAGGAGAGTTACCCTAATAATAGAGGGTAATTAAATATATTATTACAAGTAAACTGATGTGGGTTAATTCTACCATTTTCAATCTAGACTGGATATCATACGACATCCAGAGAAAGTGTATTACAAATAGAATTAGAGAACACACTTAATTTCCTTCATGGCCCTACTCTTTAGCTAGAAGTAAATATGGCAGTGAGGCTTCTGCTCCTAATACATAATAAAGCAGATTATTCAAATTAAAGAACTTAAATTTTCCATGCACTTCTTTTATTGTTGAATTAAATCTGGCATTAAAATTCTTTTTAGAGCAACAAAATAACCTTAAAACAGACAGAAATCCACCCATGAGCCACCAACAACCTAAGTCAACAAATATTGTATATTCACTTGTTTCCTTTAGTGTCTATTCATAGACATATTTTTGTTTAGATTTTTTTCCTGATTAAAAAAATAATACATGCTTGTAAAAAATCCAAACCTTATAAATAGCATAGAAAGCTGAAAGGCCTCCATGATCCCACTCTTCAGAGGTTACTGTGTACATCTCTACAATCGTTATTCAAAGTATGAAAGTGGCATTAGGTTTGTCTTTCTTATAAGAACATTCTGTTCATACTGGCCAGCCAACATTTTTACCTGATTTATTCTGGTAATTTCTTTTAAGCACCTTGAGGACACGCTTTGTCTTAAATATTTTTTATTGCCTGTTGCACTTCACCGAGAGCTTTATATATGGTAGGGTTTTCATAAATACACATTGGATGAATGAATAAACCTAGGTTTTTACTTTTCATCTTGACTTTAGCCTTAATTTGTTGACATAATGGGTCTAGAACTAAACATCGATCCTCAAGTCTTTCACAACTAGTTTAGAATGACTGACATCAAAACATGGTAAATTTCTGCCAATTAATAAAATGCCAATAAAAGCAAAAAAATGGAGACCAAAATTGAATATAAATTTGAATACAGTTCTCTGAAATCCCTAATACTTTTTTCCTTTGCATACCATACTTTCACTCACTACAAGTTTATTAACCCACATATTGCAATATGAAGTGGTTTTTGGAAGAAGCTGTTAATTGAAGGTCTTATAAAATAACTGTATCCAGTTTTTCTTGCTATTGGTAAAAATGAAAAGAGAAATTTATTTCCCTAACCCAAGTGTTTTGAATCTGAGTAATCTGGGAAAGTGATCAAATGGTTTCTTTCTACATAATAGGGGCAATGCTGCTTGTGTTACTATTGCTATCTACCACGTACTTTGAAAAGATTTTGCAAAGATTAAATATTCAGCTTTTCTTCCTCTGTCTTTTATAGGTTAGTGCACCACTACTGTATTAATTTGAAAAGTTCAACCACCTAGGAATTTACAAAGACTGATTGATTTTATAAAATCTTAGAAGTAAAAATAACAGTGGGGGCTGGATTTTGTTTCAAAGTAATGAGGTTGGTTAAGACAACAGTGGGAAAAAAGATGAATGAAAACCTATAAAATGCTTATAAATAGGAACAGAAATGGGCTGAAAAAGAAAAGAGTTTATTGTGGGATTATTAACAAAGCTCTTGGTAGTGATAATTAATATTCCCCATGACAGTGTCTTGAAAATGAAATATAAGCCTCTTTTGTGGACATCACATTTTTCACATATTCTCATCTGATTTATTATGGCTAACACTTATTGGTAATTCATTAAAAATTCATTTATAGGTTTGACCGCAGGTATTGATGATCAAAAGGATCTTTAATTAGAAACACCTGGGCACTATGAGTTTCACTCTGGGGAGAAGCAACTTATGGTCTTACTAAGTGGAGTCTTAGGTTTTAGTGCTGGGGATAGTTAGTATCTTGCATTTAATTCAGAATTGATTTTACAGCCAGAACACAGAGTGGAGGTCAGTGCCCAGGTATCCTCTCCTCACTTGATGCTGTACCTGCTGAAGACCATCTGATTCTTGATACCATATACAGGAGACCATGCAGTGTGACTCAGAGTTACCCAAATACTGATATAATCATTGGATCTCTGAATGCTCTTCAGAAAATAGACGTTGCAGTCAAGCAATTTTTAGAACCTGAGTTATGATTTTTAAATCTGCTTCATAGTGATTAGTTGAGAAAGTTTTATTACTATCAAACTGGACTAGATTCTTGAATCCTCTTGCATTCAAAGGAAATCACGTCTGCTTATCCAGTGAAAGAACTGGTCAGCTGCTCTTAGTTTCCTCCACGCAGCACAGGCATGCAACACACAGCTGCTTCCCTGGGGCCCAGTCAGTGCTGAGGGTCTGCCAAGGTAGCCACCAGGGATCAGGACATCCCGGGAGGGAACACTCCTTGGTTGGTTGGTGATACTCGAAAAACTTAACTGTGCTTGTTACAAGATAGAAAGGCTGGCTACATTTGACATAACCTTTCCATCAGCTCTGCTGAGCTGGCCACCGAAATCTCTCATTTCACTCCAGCAACTCTAGAGACTTATGGGATCTATATTTGTTGTTTTAGGATACCTTTATTTTCCATTTTGATTGTACATCATCATTCATTTCCTTGGGATTTAATCAAGAAAAGTGAATAGCTGTTTTCTGTGTGACCTCACAGAGACTTAATTAATTTGGTTGGGGGTGGAATTTACATCTGATTTACTATTTGTTTCTTGATAATAACTACTGTGTGTTTTTAGACCTCCCTGTAGGAACAAAGCTGAAACATCAGCTTGAATGTGAATACCCCTACAATGTGGATGATTTTATTTCCATTTACAGGAGAGAAAACTGAGGCTATAAGAAATTAAGTAAACTTAGTTAATTTAAACAGCTAGTAAGTGATAGAGCCAGGATTTAACCCAGGCGTCTCTGACTGCGAATCCATCATCTAGCACACTTCATTCCTTCTGTGTGGAGTATTTGAAAAGAAAGAAAGGTGTCCAAACTTTAAATTTCTGTCTTAAAATTTAGCATTTTGGATTCTTTATAAATTCCACGAGGAAGGTGACCATACTAATTATTTAAAATGGCCAGTCAGTTGTTGTGAATGCAAAGCATATTCAAAGTGAATTTCTGGGTAGGGTGTTGCTATCCCTCAGTTTAGTTACTAGCTTCAAGGGCGCGTCTTCCCTTGAAGACAGTGAGAATCTGTCCCATCGTGCTAGGGAGGAATACAGAAGTGTGATCCCTTCCCTAGGGAAAGAGATGCTTCTGAGACTCTTCCAGTACATAGAACCACAAAGAAAGAGCTTGGAAGTCACTCTGCATGTAAGCAGTCTTTCAAAATTGTATGTAAATTAAATTCTAGTTGAAGTGTTCGACAATTGGAACCAATTGATGAATGCTTTAATTCAAGAATCCTCTTGGAAGATGAATAATCATTTGTTAATTTATCTGTTCATATTTTTACATATCAGATCAGCGTAAAACAGGATAGAACTGCATCATATATAACAACAAAATAATATATAACAACTATATAATTACATCAGATTCATAGCTTCTCT